GAGAAATTCTCTTGTACTTAGATATAATTATGTGTGGAATCCACTCACCTATAAAAAAGAAAAAGAAAAAAGAAGCAATATGAAAATTGATGTATGTATAAGAGAAAAAAAATATTCTTCAACAACATGAGTATATTTTCTGTTAAATAATACATTATTAATGTGCATTGTTCTCTAAATTTTATGTTTCCTAATATTCTGTTGCATAATCAATGCCAAGCAATATCATGTCATGTAGTATAATATGGTGAGACCAGCTCTCGGACTTAGTTGGTCTTGAATCTACTAAGCCCAACAACGAGTCTAGGATCAGCTGTTGCTGATAGCCTGATAGTTGGTCCTAGTTCGTGTGGCATGTGAAAATGGCGACCTGCTGAAAGTGATAGCAAGTCCTAAGACGTGACATTTCAGAAAAAAAAAAAAAAAAAAAGTGACATTTAAGTCATTTATTTTAGATACCTTAGGTATTGGACTTATCCATTCACATTAAATTCTTGTGTCTCAATATTTATTTTATCATCTTACTAATCAACTATCCTTAAAAAAAAATCCATTACCATATAAAAAACGCCTGAAAATTTTTATTTGAATGAGCTTTTATATGCTGGGTTTGGGTTAGCCCAACGTAGTCTTCTCCTTGTGGTTTCGTTCTAAGCCCATGGTAGAACAGAAAGAAAAACGAACTGAGTCTGGTTCACCGCTAACCAGACATGAAAACTGTCATCTCAGCTCAGGAAAATGACACGAAAACTGGCTTGTAAATGAACAGAATTTGGTTCAATAGTAAATACATTCACCTAACTAAGTAAATTAACATCAGTGTTTTCAAGTTTCAAACCCCCCCTCCTCCACAACAGCACAAAAAAAAAATATAAAAAAAAAATTAACATCAGTGATCATGTTGAAATTTCAATATAGGGTTACAGCCTTAGGGTGTGTGGGGTGAGACCTAACAAAAAAACAAGGTCACAGAGGGGTACACGCTACTCTCTTCCCAGTGTAACACAGTGCAATCACAACGAGAGCGAGAGGAAACGCACGCACGCACGGTCACGGTCACGAATCAAAGCTTTCTCACACGTGAGTCTACCCTAGGAATTTAGCATGGGCCCCACTTGTTTCCATTCGCTATTAAACTTGAAAAAGTCATTTTGATCCTATTGCTGTATTGCATACTTGCTTTGCTTTCCTTGTCTGTCAGTCACGAGCCACCCACGTGCCAATCTTCCTCTTTCTCTTTCTCAAACTCCGTTTATAACTCCAACGCCTTTTATTTTTACCTTTCCCTTTCATTAAACGCCTCACCGTTACAGTTAAATATTCTATTTAAAAAAAAAATAAAAAATTGAAAAAAATGGGGTAGCGGCAAAAGCGGAGTCCTTCCGGCATTGGGCCCCTATGTCGTAGCACAAACCCGCAAAACCTGTGGCTCTTAACCAAAGCAAATTTATTATTATTATTATTTTCTTTGGTTGGAATCTTATTTTATGATAATGTCAAATTATTAATTAGATAGTTTGGTTTTAGATTACATAGATCAATGTATATAATATTTTAGTGTTACGTTTTTCTGTTCTGCTACTTGGTTCACTAGTGCTACCCATACCCATAACCTTATCCCTTGTCATTCTCATGAATCTACGCCCACCATTTCTTAATCAACCCTATCAATACCAATATCGTTCATTAGTTATATCACAACAAATCATGGCTGGTTTACTAATCAATCATTTGACAAAATTGTTATTCATCAAATTACCCAATAATAATAATAATAATAATCATAATCCATTAGCACCTTACGTTTGGTGGAAATCTCGCTTGCTCTCGTTTGAAGTTGAGTTATTTTACATAATAAATGAACGAAACAAGAAACTCAAATATGATTGGGTTGATTAATTAGCGGCCTCAGATCACATAAATAAAGATGACACATGATTATTAGGAACTTAAATTAGTGACAAGTGTTACCAAAAAAAAATAGTGACAAGTGACGTAAGGTGATGATATGATTATGGTTGAGAATATAGGAGTGCGTGGAAAAGAAAAATGAGCAATGGTCAGAGATTCATAATAGCTTCAAAACGAGGTAGACGTGAAGGATATGTATGAAACATGAACATTAACAACAACATCACAACTAAGAGGTAGCTACTAGAGTCTATAGTCTATAGTGGTAAAAAGGAAAACAAACCCATATAAGAGAGAGAGAGAGAGAGAAATTGGTAATGATGAAAAAATAAAATAAAATAAAGTGATGAGAAGGGAGGAGGTTACCTGTCCTACTCACCACCCGGCAAACCCAATTCTATTGCCGCATACTTGTCTCCCTGAATCTCTGTTTTCTTCTGTCCCCTTTCCCTTCTTTCTCCATTCATTTATTTTTCTGCCTTGCTTCCACCCACTTGCTTTGCCCTTACCTTTTTATCACCTTTCCCACTCCATCCCTGCCCTCCATTAATATCCTTTAATAATGTTTGACCTCTTCTAATCATGACCTGACCTAAAAAAAATAAAATACCACTCTGCAGCATAATTAAAGTCTTGTAATTATCCTTCTTCCATTCCATAATGTGCTTGAGAAGGGTAATGATATATGTACCCTCTTTACATACAAATATGTTAAAGCACCATTATTAAACGAAAGTACAAATCATAAACAGCATATCTTCTGCAATAATATAAGAAAGTGTTAAGTAATCAATTTAATTTTAAATTTTAAGTTATTGAACGAAATTATATTAATCATTTTTAATTTTTTTAACATATCTCTTTATACTTAGAGTTTATTAAAATTGAAAAGTGAATGATGCATCAAGCTTAATTTATCTATATTAATAAATTTTATAATATTTAATTATTTTTATTAATAGAATGAAACAGTGATGCTCAAACTCATAATTTTCTAGTGATGTCAACTTCTCTAATATCATATTAAGCAACTAATTCAATTCAAAAATTAAGCTATTGGCTAAATTTATATTAATAATATTCAGAATACAAAACAAAATGATGCCTCCAAATTTACATAGTAGTTAATGGTTTAGTAGCTAACATTGAATCTGGTGCTAAACTTCAATAATATAGGATGCACTATGCTTTTCAATAGATGGAATATGCAAAACCACACCATAATCAATAAAATACAGCATTCTCCTAATAAAATTCGTATGCTTCAACAGTTTACAAAAGTACGCCAATTACATATTGAATATGATTTGATGCTTTTAATTTAATATTTTGAAAGAATATAAGTTGAAAGCATGTTATCATGTTTCCATTATTTATTTGCCACGGAAAGCCGATTTTCTGGGGCGTTTGAGAAGGATGTTTTTAGTATTTCTGGAAAATTGAGCATGGTAATTTTATTTATTCATGTCTGGTATCAGATTTCTATTTTTTATTTTTTTTTGAGAATTTAATTTTCTCATAATTTTATTTTGTGTGTAAAATTTTTTAAAAATATCATCCAAGAACACCATTGAGGAGGTGATAATTTAGGATTCTCATGGTAAGAAAAAATTTAACACAATCAAACATAGCATTAAAAAAATTAACCTAATATTTTTTGGAATATTTTGGCCCACTAAACAATTTTTAGATAGTATTTTCAAAAAATTCATTTGCTCATTATATTCTTAAAAATTGTGATTCCAAAATAATAAAAAAATATTTCCTCTACCAAATGTTTCCTAAATTTTTCTTATCGTGGGGTGAAACTTTCATAGCAAGTTAAAGATTCTCAATCCATTATAAACATTTTTATCTAAAATAATGTTGTTTAGTTATGACTCAAGAGAATAATTTTAAATGATAATGGTCGTTTGAGTACCCTGGAATTCAGTTCAATATGTTCCCCTTTTCATTTGCCATAGTTGACTTTAGTTGTGCCAAAGATCTAATATCGTGTATAAGACATATGATCCCTCCAGCAGTAATCATTCATGTCAGTAAACTCAGTACTATGCCTTGGCTTGTTTGCTCCATGGTCCTTGCTCTGTTGGGCACCATCGTCCCACAAATTATATTAACTCATATGCACAGTTTATACAGACTGGTATCTGTCATCGTGATAGTTTGGGCAGAAAAAGCACGTCAAAGAATATTAGTGATAATGAAAATGAGTTTTGCCTTTTGAATTTGCCATCCAACTCACAAAATGGATCCCTTAATTATTAAGATCCTCTTAATTAAAAATTTTCGAGTTCAAGTCTTAGCAATAGAAAAAATAGTCTTGGTGAGTTGCTCCTATATTAAATCTGATCATATTTGAATCAGATTAGTTAAATAATTCATGAATGGGTGAATATATAAAAATGATTAAAATTGAAAATATAATTCCACAGTTTTCCCAAAAAATAAATAAATTAATAATCATGTCATGGCTAATGTTCGAGAAGGATGAAGAAAAAAGACTGACTGTAATACTTATCTTGAAGTATAATCTTTTATTGTTTGTAAATAAAAAAACTATCCATCCCTAATGTTGTGCCTGACCTGTGACTAAAAAAAGGGCTTGTGGACAATTTGAGTTTTTTAAAAAAAAAATAATAAATTCATTCATAATCATGTGCACAAGTTTAGTCACTCGCAGACAGTGTAAATAAGTTATGGTTACGCTTTCGTTCAAAAGCATTTAAAAGAGCAAAAGCGACATTTTAGAAATCCAAACCAGTTAACCCAAAAACAGAAAATAGAAACCAGAAACCAGTCGTTGCCTTCGGATTAATAGAAAAGTAGTCAGACTCATTAATAATTATTCATAGAACCTGTTAACAGCGACAAGTATTTAATTTTCTGTCTCCGCAGAGAGAGATAATGGATGGTTTTGATTTCTCCGTCAGAATCAATCGCAACCGTCCAACGTCATTCCCCCGGCCCAAATTCCCGAGTATACATCATTTATTAAATTAATTAAACGACATCACATATTTTCCATTTTGCCCCTATCCGCTTTGTATTGCGTTTCGTTTTGGAGAATTCATTATTTTGGGTTTTTCCGTCTTAAGAACTTCATTCATTAACTTTCTCTTCTCAACTCAGCTCAAAAGTTGTGTTATTGCTTTCTGCTTAATGGAAGGGCCTTAAGCTTTTCTCTCTCTCTCTCTCTCTCTCTCTCTCCTTCATTGTCTTGGTTTTGCATCTGACTGTAAAAAGCTTCCTCAAAACAAAAATCGGTTTTCTTCTGTGTCTGATATACCAAAACTTGCTTCCTTAGGTGCGTGCTTCTAAATCTTCTTCTCTCACTGCCAACTGCTCCTCTTTCCTTTCTTTTCTGCGATTCTCTCTGTGTTTTTGTTCAGCTCTTTTTCTTTCTTTCTTTCTTTCTTTTTTCGTAAATTTTTTGGTAAGGATTTGGTGCCTGTGCGGATCGAATCTCGCTATTTGCTTTTGTGTTTTTGTTTGCGGAGAACACTGAGCTCATGAAGAAAACTGAACCAGGATTAGGAAGAGAAAAGCGCGTGCTATTCTGAAAATCTGATTGTGTGCGAAGATGATTTGTTAGTAAATTACTTACTTACCGGGTTAAAGCATGCATGATGCATGCTTATTTATTTATTTATTTCTCATTCTAAAGCATTATTCTATGATTGGCTGTTTTGTTTATATTGGTTACTAATTGAATGATCATTATGATTGGGGCTTCTTCTTTTTTTTTTTTTCATTTTGTAAATGAATGCTTTTCTATTATGGAGTCTTTTGTTTGATTTTGTTATTAGCATAACAATTGTATTTGTTTCTGGCAATATGTGAAAGTGGACTGTGGTTTTTACGGTTTCTGTGTGTGGCAGTTGAGTTTGTTTGTGTGTTTGGAGTGTGATGTCTCCGGCGGTGGTTGTTACGGAGGAGGAAGGGCGGAGCAAAGTCTCGTCGACTGTAGCATCTGCATCTTCACAATCCTTAGATTGTTATGTTGCTGGATTGAAAGAACGGAATTACTTAGGACTATCAGATTGCTCATCAGTGGACAGTTGTGCCTCTACTGTTGCCAGCTTGAGCGATGAGAAAAAGGGGAACTTGAATTTGAAGGCTACAGAGTTGAGGCTGGGTCTTCCTGGATCCCAATCGCCTGAAAGGGATACGGAACCTGATCTTTACTCTTTAAGCTCAACAAAGCTTGATGAGAAGCCACTTTTCCCTTTGCTTCCTACAAAAGATGGAATCTGCTCCTCGTCCCAGAAAGCTGTGGTTTCGGGCAACAAAAGGGGTTTTGCTGATACCATGGATGGGTTTTCTCAGGTGAGAAGTTTGAACTTCTACTTATAGTGTGAAGTGGATGTTTCATGCTGCTTCTAAGTCTGATTCCTCACTATGTTTGGTGCAGGGGAAGTTTACTGGAAATACAGGGATAAACGTAATGGTATCGCCTAGACCTTCTGGAGCTCAGCTTACCACGATGAAAGAAATGCCGAGCAAGGTGTTACAAGAACGGCCTTGTGCAGCTAATGGTACTGGTCATAACCATACAGGTGCTTCTATCAGTGGCAGTGCACCGGCTTCTAAGTAAGTAAAACCTGTCATTTCAAGGATCTGTAATTTTCAAGAGGAACTGGATGTTGGATAAACACCTTAAATTGTTTTTACGTGTATTTCTAGTTATGCTAATATAGAAATTTCTCATATATGAGACAGGGCACAGGTTGTTGGTTGGCCTCCTATAAGATCATTTAGGAAAAACTCCATGGCTACCACTTCAAAGAACAATGATGAAGTGGATGGAAAACCAGGTCCTGCCGCACTCTTTGTGAAGGTCAGCATGGATGGTGCTCCCTATCTAAGGAAGGTAGATCTAAGAAGTTACACAACATATCAGGAACTATCTTCTGCCCTTGAGAAAATGTTTAGCTGTTTTATCCTCGGTGAGCTATTGTAATTCTGATTTACTTTAACAATGAAATTGGTGTTAAGTTAACTACTGAATTATTTTAAATTAATTTCGTTGTTGCGTTATTTTTTATCTAAAATGTACTTTTTGTACTTTTTACAATATCAGGTCAGTGTGGTTCCCACGGAACCCCAGGAAGAGAAATGTTGAGTGAGAGCAAGCTGAGGGACCTTCTGCATGGTTCAGAATATGTACTCACTTATGAAGATAAAGACGGGGACTGGATGCTGGTGGGGGATGTGCCATGGGAGTAAATATTTTAAACTCTCTATGTCCTTTTACTATCTTAATATTCTCATTATATTGTTCCATGCAATTTGCTTGTTTCTTGAACAAAGGGTCTAGGGATCAATAGTATGCTTGTTCAATCAAACCATCCAGCATTGATACTGATATTGATTTTTGTTTTCCAAGTACTTCCGAAAGTCCAAGGAGTATTGTTTTATTAGTAGTACCTGAATTTTGCTTGATGTTTTGTACTTTATATTGACCTATAAGGGTAAGCACCTAACTTAGTTCGATTCAAAACTTGATAATAAAAGGTTAAGTAAAGAATTATTGTCTGCAGCATTTTTCTAAATTTTTTTTGACTCCAAAACTAATTCTTCTAACAATTGATAAAAAAAGAGTAGAGCCTATTAAGGATACTAAATGGTGGTAATAAGAAAAAAATAGCAGCCACAATCATTCTTTATTTGCAGGTGAAGGGTTTGCATGGCAACAGAGAATTCATGTCAAACAACAACTAATTTGTAGATAAATTTTTTTAAATATGTTGTTGTAACGAATCTGATACATGGAATAATGGACTTTGCATCTTATTATCTAAGTGATTGGCAACTCATAAAAAAAGTAACTAGAAAGTTGTCCTTTTCAAAATGGAAAGTATAATCAGATATTGAGAATTTTTATTCTAGTTCAACAGATTTAATAAAGTGAGTAGAATACAATGTACCGAAGCGAATTTAGAATTTTTGAACATTGCAACATTTTCTTTCTCTTTTGGTGCGATTTGATGTATTATTTTTAGTGTGATAGAACCCCATTCACTTGGGTGTATGCTACAAAAAAGAGGATTGGAAGTAGGGATTAGCACCACGGGGCAGTGGCAAATGAGTGAGAAGGAGTAATTCGGCTGGGGTAAGTGAGAATAAATGTTAGGAGGAGAGTAAGGGTAGGCAATGATTGAGCGAGGATTTGGGGACTTTGGGCTGGGAGGAAGCATTTGCATACCCTTCAAAGAGTCTGCACTCTTAGACTCTTCTCCACCTTTTAATTGTTTTCATTATTCTTCTGTCTTGGGATTACTGTGCGCGCGCACACGCCTGTATATATATATAAACTATGGGGAAGTAGGATGAGGCTGAAAGGCAACAAATAATCAGAAACTTTCCTTTGCCATCCTTTTATTCTGTAAAAATGTAATGATAGATCTGAACTATTAAATCCTAATCTTGATCACCACTTTCTGTCTATTTTCTTAATCATTGTCACCGATCTACTTGTTTTTGCATATCTTATATTAGACTTGGACCCCATTGGGACTTACTGCTACAGTTATATAAGATAATGAAATCACAGCACTTTGTACATTCCAGTTTGAATTGACATTTTATTGTTGTGTATTATCTCAGATCAAGCACAAAATAAAGTAATAAAAGTTTTATCGCATAGTTTAGATAGATAATAAATAATTTATATCCAGTCATTTATTCCTACTCCCGCACCAGGCTCACAGATATCAAAACAAACAAAACTTACACCGGTGTAGGTCTTATAAGTTTTACTTACACCTGTTATTACTGTTGATTCCACTTTCATCTATCGGTTCACGTGACTAATAAATTAGAGCCATTAGATGCAAGAGGGATCAACGGTTAATAATGGGTGTAAGACTTGTATCGGTGCAATTTGATCCTTCCCCTATATTTTTCTACTGAATAAGTCTAATTCAGTTATGTTTCCTATAGGCATATGTTAATGTTCTTGTCTAGTTGATGCAAATTATAGTCTCTGTTTGTACTAAAAAAATGGACTGGATGCTGCTGGATTGAAATTTTCACTTTACTCTAGTGTGCATTCCACTGACTCCACTGCATTTTTTTTTGTTGCAGAATGTTCATTGACACTTGCAAAAGGCTAAAAATCATGAAGGGCTCTGATGCCATTGGCTTAGGTATGTATTCTCCGTGATGTTTCATTTTACAGTCACTATAACTTATATGGAAGCCTATTACGTGAATTAATGGATTGGGACCTTCTACTTTACTTGAGATAGTCGCCATGTCTAAGAACTATTAACCTGCAGCAGATTATGATCCTGATGTGTTCAAATGAGATAACTGAATCTAGACATATTTCAGTATATGCATGTCATGGAATACTTCAAATATTATTTAGGAATAATATACGAGGCGGAGAACAAAAGATTTCTGCACTTTGAATTATAATAGTCTTTTATTTCCAAATTGTTTTCTTCCTCGTTTTTTTGATCAAATTAAGGGAAAAGTATTTGTCATTTTAAATGACATAAAATTATGTCATTTTAAGAGAGAGATAGACACAAGAAAATATTTTTTTATTTAAAATTTAAATTAAAAAAAAAATCACTTACTTCGTCTCTCATGATTTCCATTCCTTGTGTTTATCTCTCTCTTAAAATGACATAACTTATGTCATTTAAAATGACAAACACCAAATCCATTTTATACGGAAACATAGTACTAAATTGGTTTGAGTTTATCCAACAAAAGTAATGTGTATTTTAGGAGTAACAGATCATTTCGGTTGTAATTTGCAACGCTATGAAATACCTTTTATGTTAGCAACTCTGTTATGACCTTGATTTAAAATACCTCTCTACCTCTTCAGCTGATGTCAATTCAAATATTAATCAGTCTAATACTGATCTGTACCTTACAACTCTCAATTAATGTGCCTATGCTTAAGTAGTTTTTGTTTCCTCCGCAGCTCCTAGGGCCATGGAGAAGTCCAAAAGCAGGTGTTAGATGGTTTCTGGGACGGATGACTTCTTTTTGTCTAATCAAGTTTTAATGCTGGATCCGAGGTGTGTGAAAAGCAAAGGATGATGACTGAATTACGTTTTATGTTTTTAGGTCCCTTGAGAGTTTGTCTTGATCTATGTTTGTTATATTTGTTACTACTATAATATCTTGTGAAGCTACCTTGGAAGATTAGTATTTGTGGAGTCTGTAATCATTACACAAACCTGTTTGGATGAATTGAATGTCTGTTACTACGGCCAACATACGGTTCTTACGTTATTTATCATTCCCCAGTCTTTCTTTACTTTAAATACTGAAGAGTATTATTTCATGCCCTCTCCGTTTGAACCGAATTGTTCCTACAATAGGTATAGGCCCGGGCCCAATATCAACGAGAGATTCTTAAGGTGGGCGTGGATTAACAGATTTCTTGTGTTTTTTCCTATTAAATATCAACTACAGTTTTTTAGTATTAACTTTTAGCAAAATAGGGAGGTTGTGTAAATATGGCAATACATATTTAATGATGGATTTAAAGTTATTTTAGATAATTTTATTCAATATTTATCAAAATACACACAAAAAAATATGTGGGCTTTATTTATTTATTTTTCTCTTCTCTTTTACATGGGTCCATATGAACTTCATATATTTTTGTGTGTGTATATTTTGATTAACATTAGAAAAGTTATCTAAAGTAAACTCTTTAATGATATGTACTAAATGTGTATGGGGTGTCATGGGAACAGTAACGAGTTTTTCAGTATGAAGTCCAATATGGCAGGTGTTTTTGGGTGATCCCTTGATTATGCTCTGGATATCTCTTGCCAAGAATGACTGATCAACATGTAAAAAATGGCCCCCTAAGGGGAAGTTGGAGTGTCGAGATCTAATTCTCATCATATGACCAAATTCTCTTGATAAGTAGATATTGAGTTCTGCTCTGCTGATGGTAAACGAGATTAATGTTTCTCATATTTTAAGGATACTTTTATTCATAAGATAACATTGGCAAAATGTTACTTTTTGACGAGAATCCTTTTTTCCCCACTTAAACATAGAGTCCAGCTGTTGAGTTTATCGTGCCAAAACGGAAGGGACTAGAAAGTTTTGATCCTAGTAGTTTATTCTGTAAGATAATTTCATTGGAAATTAAATGAAATTTTGAGTATACTTAGAAGGGTATAATTGTATATTTCGTAAACACTGAAGATGCTGAAAATCTAATTTGTATTCTACTGCAATTGTCAATTGATTCGAGCGAACTAAACACCAGAATTGATTCGAGCTTGTGATAGGATCCCTTAATTAATTGGAATAGAAACCATAACAGAATACAAGAATGTTGGCATTGAATCAGAAAATTTGTATTTCAGATTATAGTGAATGGGTTACAGGTAAAACCGTAAAACAACTCTCAACTACCAATTGTTAGTGCGTGGGAAAATGTTACAGAACGTGCATGCACATATGGAGTTATGCGTCTATTGTAGGCAGTTAGTGAAGGGTTATGCACGTGAGTAGTTGTTAGGAAGTTAGAGTGAGTGACGGAGGTGTATAGCAGGTGAATAACAACTTGTGTAGTATTGAAATTAAATGTGTATTAAATAGGATGCATCCATTGTAAGGAATCATATCAGAAATAAGAAGTCTCTTTTATTGTTACTTGCTACGTATCACAGAGTTCAACTCTTAACATAATTAAAAGGGAAAGCAAAAACAAAGAAAATTGTAGAAAAGCAAAAACATATAATGTGGAGTAGTTCGAGATACTCCACACTCTCCCAGATTCCAATTCCAGAATGTGCTATCCGATACCCTCCCTCCAGCAACAATCTTCCTATTTAACTAAATGCTTCCCCAGCTCAGCATTATGTTGGGGGACAATATTGGAATTTGCCTTGACCCAAACTCTTTTATTTCTATCTCTTTTGTATATTTTATTGGGTTGGACCGTATCACATTGTCAGTAATGATGGATTTGAGTTCTTCCCAGGTTAGTGCAGGATTAGTTATTGACCATAAGCATTAAATGATCATTAAAGTACAAGATGGTGGTTTGTCATTTCTTCTAGATTCTATGAATTATAATGTTTATTTGAATTTAATCATACACTATTAAATGGAAATATGATGCCTTTCCCTTTGAAGAAAACACAACATTTACTTGAGAAAGTTTTTGACTTAGTGCGTATAGATTTTTGAGATAGAATATCGTGAGGAAAATGGTAGATATTATGTTACAAAAGCATGGGAAGTTTGTTTACTGGTGACTATTTGGTAATTTGATCCATAGATCACATTTATATATGTATTTGTTCCTTCAAGTATAAAAGTAATGAGGTTTCACACATTGTCTTCTTCATTCAATTGCATTCATTGTAATGTTGAGCTGTCCAGCTTTCCAGGATGCTTAAGTTTTTCCAATATTGCTTGACTTCTAGAAGTAAGATGTTTAATGTTGGAAATCCACACACACATGACATCGCAAACAAGAAAAGAGAGAAGAAGGGAAGAGAAAAATGACATAGCGATTTACCTGGTTAACCTAATATAAGCTACGTTTAACATTCAACTTGTCTGTATTATATTCGTCTTAGTTTATAAAGGAATTATTCATGAACTCAAACCCAAATTACTGAAAAAATAATAAATACAGTGAGTCAATAATGAATTAGCAATAAATCAGAGATCCACCACAGAGTTAGCTTCCTGATCCTGCCAACAAAAAATCTCCATCTGAAGAAGTATAAACCATACTTTAGTTCGGTAATATACATGGCTTTGGTTAAACTCGATGCCTCTTTTCAACTTTTTTTTGGGGAGAGTGAAAGGAGACTTTGGAGTAGTGTCTAAGAAATATAATAATCCAAATCCAGAATCTTAAAAGAAAAGTAAGAGATATAATCCAGAATCTTAAAATGAAAGTAGCAGTGTTGGTAGGATTAATTGTAATCATTACCTAATAGTGGGGAAAAGCTGTAATGGCCAGGTTGGGTGTCAATTATTGATTCATTGAAGTTGGATGTCACTTGTTTGGAATGTTCTTACCCGGATGTGATATAAAGTTACACTTACAATTTTATTGTTATGATTATTTAACCCTGTTTTAATATAGCCCCTGTATGTGAAAACAATTTTATTTTTTTTTTTAAAAAAATAAAATTGTTTGCACATTATCGTGTTCAAGACTGCAAGATCAGATTTTCTTCCCAAGTAACCACCAGCTTTAGTTTTATTTATTTTTTGGTAAATAACAATTGGAAATGGAGCCTCTAATGTGCCAAAAAAACATGATATGATCATGTGAGAAGATCACAACCATACAAAGGTAAATCATCGGTTATGATTTCGTAACTACTTATTTTATCATTTTTTTTCTCTCTTCTTTTTTTACCATTGATCTACTTTGTATGGTTATAATTCCCCGCGTTATATGGTCATGTGAATTTTGACATTAGAGGATGCAGATCCATAACAATTAGTATCCAAAACTCTAACAGGTCCCACTAATTTGATTTTGGATTTGAGTCTCTCCCGTGTTCTTAGGAGTTCCAACTCTTAAAAATCAATTCCACTAACCTTTGGACAGGGCAAAATCCTGAAATCTAATTGGGTTGCGAGCAACTTTTGGGTACCATGAGCTTTATTAACCTTGCTGTAATAAGAATGCAGGTGTGGAGCCAAATTTCAACTTGTGGATGATAATAACTTATGACGTATTATAGTGTTCTTGCTTTGATTTTTGAAGATTAACAGGTTACATTATTTTTTGTGGAAGTAGAATTTGTTTTTTGGTCACCGTGGTCGTAGTAATTGAAGTTGCAACTTTATTGCAGAAAAAAAGGGGAAGGAAAAAAGGATGAAGCATTTGTCCTTCTGCAGCAAACAGTGATTCCAAAACATCCAGGCATGATTGTGAGTAAGGTTTGTCCATGTATGCCATATAATGTGGTTAAGGTAATTACCCTCCATGATGAAGTTAAAGTTTTGTCAATGGGATTGGGAAAAATTCAACTGAGAAAAGTCCTTGTGATTATTTCCCCCATTGTACAATTCACTAGCTACTAGGAGTTTGAAGATGCTTGGAGCCATACAAAGTGAGCAATTCAGTGGCAATCAATGTTCATAGATCTCTTTTAATTTTAGAAGTTAATAAGGTGGACTTAATGGCACAAGATTTTGTTTCCTTCCATTTATTCAAAAAGTTCATAATTTAATAACAGCACTACGTACCTGTTGGAAAGAGATAGTCCTGTGTGAATCTTGGAAACAGACTATTTTAAACAACAAAATCCTTATCAAATCATGCATGGAATAATATTATTTCTTATGCTAAGTGACACTGATGAAAACTTAAATTCCAAGTATCATAATGCAAATCACCACCCCCACTTAATTACAATCATCCGTTTCATAGGGGAAAGTGCTTGGATGATCTTCTTAAGAACCTAAGAATTGGTAGGACTTGTAGGGGGTGAAAATTATAATATGAGATGTGACAAGGTCTTTGTTGGACACAATAAGAGTCTAGGTACACATTCCCCTCCTTTCTATCTAATAACAAGCCACTCGTTACCACTTGAATTAATGACTGTTGTTCTATACACCTATTTTCATCATAACAAAATAAGTTGTCTATACCACGTGAAGGAGAAATAGATGATGATAAAAACAACTTAGTAACCAAGACATATACCTTTTTATAGACATGCATCAACACCATATGATGCTCCATTCATGTAGCCTATAGGCTGCCACACTGCCCTCTACAATAATGCCTCCACGTGTTTCTTCAGCCACCACCCGGTAAGCAATGTCATTTGTTGGAGGCATATTTCACTTGTGCTGCTTTGTGATCATTATCAGAAACTAAAGTCCCACACAAACATTCTGTGCATTCATCTTTTAAACGTGGCAAAATTCGTTGGGATTGAATCGACTATGGTATAGTGTCATTTAAAAGGATTAGCACATTATCTTTAGTAGGAGTTTAAAACTTTAATTCTGGACCCGCACTCAATCGGACTAGTCGCGAAGAGATGAACCAATTGTAATATTTTCGGAAAAAAAAAAGGATTAGCACATAAATACTGTAAAACTCATAAATGCTGGAGGACCTTATAAGGACTTTCTGCTAGATATATAAGTGATTCAATTTTTATCCCGTAGTGAATGAGGAAAGGGGTAAAATGGGGAACCAAATCATAAGTTTGATTAAAAAGATATGCATAGGTCATCTTGTTTTCCATTGGTTGAAGGTTTATTTTAGGATTGATGGGAA